CTCCTTCACGTTAGTGTATGGCTCATTGGTTTCGCTAGTTGTTAAAAGACATGTCAATCATTCTTTTGAAGCAAATAAAGGAGAAATACGGAAAGCTATTGACTTTCGCAGGTGCAATACGGCCCTAAGGGGAAACTGCGCACAATGGAAGAAACCGCAAAAAAACCTCCAAGAGCAGCAAGGGGGAAAGGAAGACTATTCCAAGACAAATTCGTAAACACGGGCGTTTTCGATGTTTGTTGAAAACAGATTTGGTCGTCTCTAGATGCGAAAGAGTTAAGTCTTATCGCAGGCCGGTGCTCTATATCTTACAGTGTGATGCAGTCTCTGTGGATCCTAAATTCTACTTGCTACCAAATACCTCCCTAAGTTCTAAATTTTGGATCCCAGTGCTTATATTCTAAAAAATATTTTTATCCTTTAATTTTGTAGCTCGATGCTTCTCTAAATTCCAAAAATCTTGTCTTTCCTAAATTCTGCCACCCGGTGCACCCGGACAAGTTCTGGCTCCTGTTCTGGGTTTATGTGAAAAACAAATCAGTTATTCTGAATTCAAATGGAATCTTTTGGCCTATGAGTATCATTAAAAAATATATTTTTAACATATGAAAAGAATTAAAAATTTTTTGTCAGTATTTCTTAGCGCATTTAACTTAAATCTGCAGTCATTGCCAAGCATAATAATGTCAACATTACCGTACTCATTGTACTAATATGAAAAATTAATAATATAAAACAAAAAGTTTTGGTCATCGCTGCATGAGTCATTATTCAAGTTATCATGTGTTGATAAACATGCGCTGATGAAAGCAAATATAATAAATAATTATCAGCCGGGTTGGCGTCAGGGATATAAAAAATTTCTAGGAGTAAAATCAACAATGTTTCTATGTAGAATGTTTGGGTTTGAGATGTATGCCAAGCAGATACTATGTAGAATGTGCTAATATATATGTAGAATATACTAATATACACAGCTACAATTTAGAATGTACTATAATATGCAGCTACTATGTACTATCACTATCTATTGTTTCAATGTAAAATGTTTCGGTTTGAGGTGTATGCCAAGCAGATACAGCTTCAAATTATTGATCACACAAATTTATGCTAAATTATTATTTCTTTTGTAACGAGGTATTTATTTAGTGTCGAAGGAAAATTAAGAATCAGGACTCTGCACGTGTTTTATCTACGAGGGAAAAGAATCAAATGCACATGCATAAAGCATTTAAAAAGAAAAAACTTACTTTACACATACTCTATGTATGAACTTTAGTTATCCTGTTGGCGGTTTTAAGGTCCAGATTTTAGATCATTCCAGATATTGGATGTCCGGATCTCGATCTTTGTACTGTATCTGTCATTTGCGTTTTTCTTTTGCTCTCTGTAAAGCTGCTATCACACATCTGTTTGTTTCGGAAGAGCAACTGTTTGGAGCATTTTTTCTGCTTTGTCTCAACAGCCAATCACCACAGATCACTTTGGGATTAACACAGGAGAAACTGGTTCTCCATTACAAACAAGTTGACAGTTGATTGGTTGAAAACGAATAACTTGCAATTTTGCAAGGAAGGAAAAAATTGCACATCTTCTTTCAGTAGTAAACCTGCCAGAAAAATTGTCCGAAACAGTTGTTCGTGTGAAACAAATACATGTGTGATATGGGCCTAAGAAGTTGTCGATAAGGGGACGAGGCATCCATGACTTCTGTCAAAATCTGCCTCATTTTTAATAAATAAGCCCAGAATTTCCGTTATGGAAGCTAAACTGGTTTTTTAGAAATGCTGTTGAAAGTTCATTTTGCTCTTTTTCGGAATCACTATTTTTAATATTTTTGTGTTCTTGATCTGGTAATTCCTTAAGTTCATTATTAGAAAGACTGTTGTTTCTTGCAAAATTTCTTTGAGATCTTCCACCTTAACTTCGTCTAAACCTGTTTGTTTCACTCCACTATTTCATTCATATCAACAACAGAATCTCTATTGTCATCGTCTTTTTTTAAATCTCGCCAAATGTTTTTCCACACTCCTTTCAAACATTTTCCCGTTACCTCAGTCCAAGAAAGATTTATGTTTTCTATAACATCCATGATATAGTTCCTGCAAAAATCTCCTATTGATTGTTTATCATTTACATCTGTTTTTCAAAAATTTATCTAAATGTTTGCCGCAGATAATAAGAGTTAAAATTTGTTATAACAGCTTGGTCCATCAATTGGATTAATTCATTTGTGCGAGGTGGTAAAAAAACCACTTCGACTGGAAAGCATGGCATTAAGTCATATAAATTCGTTGAATGGCATGGAGCATCATCGTATAAAAGTAGCGCTTTTGGTTCCAGTTTTTTTATTTCGCAATAGCAGTTAAAAGACGGGCAAAAGTGTTCAATGAACCAATTCTAAAAATTTTCGTAGTTACTCGTGATTTATTTTTATTAGACTCCCAAATTACAGGTTAAGTTGGATTTTGATATTCCTTTCATTGCCCATGGGTTAGAATAAAAAACAAGGAAGTGATTTTAATTTCAAGTTTGTTGGTTTTAGCACCCAGAAATGTCAAGTGATCCCTTCATAGCTTAAATCCTGGTGCACGTTTTTCTTTATGGGGTAGAAACGTATGTTTTAGCATTCCTTTCCAGAATAGGCCCATATTATAGTCGTAAAACAAATTCTGGGGAATACTTTCCTTGTTTCATGATTATTCTTAATGTTGTTAGGAATTCAGCCACATCTTTTATATCTCCACTTGCTGCTGCTTCTCCTGTATTCTGTATATTATGAAGATTATTCCAACATTTAAATCAATTAAACCATCGTCGACTTGCAACAAAAGTTTCAGTAGTGTCACCTGTTTCAGTCTGAATGTGATTAAAAATTCATCTCGCGTTTTCCATCATAATAACTTGCCTTATTGGCATGTTACATTCAGTTTCATCATCAATCCATATAGTCATTTTTCCGTCTCCTCTATTATATTATTTCTAAAATGGGTTATTCTAGTTCCAGAGGTTTTTGTAGTTGTAGTTGCTGATAACACTATTTTTTCTTTATTCTTAAGAATTGTCGTCATTTTGAAGTTGACAAGTTCAATGCAACACCAGTTTGACATTGATGTTTACCACTATCTTATCTTCTAAGCACTTGCATTTTAGTTTCTAGTGAAATGCTTTTTTCTTGTTGCTTTATTTTCATGTTTTTTATTATCACCCACAAAAAACTAAACATTATTTTATCACTATATCAGTCATTACATTAGATAAATTTATACTTTCAATAACAGCAGCAAATGCTTGAAATACCAAAAATATATGTGTATATTTATTAGTAAAATTATATATGTAACACTACAGAGAAGAAATAATGCAGATAAATTACTTTCGATTTTGGGGAAGCTCAATGCTGTTTTATAATTTTCAGGGAATCCCACTATTCCAATAAAAACACGTTAAACCAAAACAGCAGTAAACTTGCCAGTGTTAAGCAGTGCCTTACAGTATATCAAGCACATGCTCTTAAATAAAGCATAATGTATTTAAGAAGTGAAAAATTATTAAGTTACTATAATAAACTGATAACAGATAATTTAAAAGTAAGTTATTGTTTTTTTCCCCTCTCGAAAGGTATAGTGATATTTAAGGGAAGGAAAAATTATCTTAGAAAATATAGTTTGTAATTAAATTCAATTTACTAAGATAATTATATCATATATAAAATAATTAGTTTTTAATATCTCATTTTTATTTGATGCTATTACATAAAATATATATGTGTGTGTGTATGTATATACAGTCAAAAGTCGTTAATTCGGACACCCATAATCCGGAATGATCTATAATCCGGACCTCAAAGCTACAAACTTTCTGCGCATGCGTTTACGCGTTTACGCATGCGCGTTTAATGTATAACGGACGGTATAAGCTAAGCTAAAATTATCTAATTCAGTTAATGTTGCAGATTGCGTTGTTCCTTAATCTTCGAATTGGATCCGGCTTATTATTTTTTGCAGACTGTTAGAGCAATTTTATAAAAGTAAGCTTGAACTTTCGATTATGTCAAATAGAATTTCGATATATATTTACTAATATGTAAAGGATCTACAAAGCGAAAGTATGTTTCGAAGTCCATTAAACAAAAAGTGGAATTGCTGCAAAAATGGATAAAGGCATATCCTTTGTTTATCTAAACTTTGTTTATCTTTAACGCTGCGGCGCGCAATGAATTGGAAGTTGATCTGTCAGCACTATCCTTATCTTCAGGGCAGATGTTTTTATTTTATTTGGCTTATAATTCCTTACTAAATGTAGTATTTCATCTCGATGTACTCCGTCTTTGATATGATTTAAATCAAATTCCTCGTCATTATAATTCGCTTCCGATAGCGAAGAAAGTGACAGAGGTTATTGAAAACGAAAAAATTTTCGATTGACAAATTAGTCGGTATTCTCGACACAGCAATTATAGGACTTGAACAGCGGAACTTTGTAACTGAACAAGAAATTATGTCTGTTTATAGAATTAAGAGATGTATTATCACATAAAAACGAACAACTTACATTGAAAGAAATGTTTAATAAAGTAAACAAATAAATATTAAGCTTTTTTTTTTTTTGTAAATTTTGATACCCTTTAGATCATAATTGTTCTTTATTTCATAAATTACGGTTTCATATTTTTAATTTTATAATTTCTGCATGCCATCTTACCAGATTTAAACAGATGATCTATAATTCAGAAAAATTGATAATCCGGAATCGCCGAAGTCCCAATGAGTCCGGATTAACGACTTTTGACTGTATTGAACAATTTCAAATTTATAATGTTCCCTTCCCCCTTGAAATTAATTTAACTAATTAATATATTTGTCGAGCTGAGAAAGTAGATGCTTGCTATATAAATTTTTAAATAATCAATCTTCCTTTTAGCTGTCTTAAACCTTAGACTTGATTTGTGCTGTGTTAATTGTATGGTTTGGATTTTGATTTAAATTAATGTTTTCTAGCTGTCTGTGATGCTATTCGTACAAGTTTGGGTCCCAGAGGAATGGACAAGATGGTAAGTTTAACTAATTTTTAAGTTTATAACATAGACTAGGATTCATTTAATTCTTACCCAGTGAAACAGTTTACAAATCAGCAAAAGAATTTTTTTTAAAAAATATCTGTTAAATCTATCTGTTTGGGTTTTTATTAAAAAAACTAAACACAAAAATCTAAAATTACCTGTGCAGAATATATAGCATATGTGAGAAAATTAAATTCACATTTCTCTTTTATAACTAGCTATCCGTGCTAAAGGTTTACATAAAATATTTTGTTAAATATGTACTGCAAATGTTTGTAGATCTTTTTAATAAAATTAATCAAATTTAATAGTTTAAAGGAAGATAATCTAGTACTAATAATTTAAAACTGTCTTCTGTCATTTTTTAAAAAATAATCAGAAAACTTCTTTATGAACAATTCATCAGATACTGATTTTTTTTTTTTTTTTTTTTTGTTTAGATCCAGGCTGGCAATGGTGATGTCACTATCACTAATGATGGAGCCACTATACTCAAGCAAATGCAAGTCTTACATCCAGCTGCAAGAATGGTAAGCTGTTGTGTGTTTTACTATATATATATATTGACCGTAATTTGTTGTATTTTTATTTATGCTTATCTTAAAAGGTTTTTTTATTCATTAAAATGAAAATTCTTTCATTTTGTCTAATTAATACATTGTTCAGTTGGTAGACTTATCAAAAGCCCAAGATATTGAAGCTGGTGATGGAACAACGTCTGTAGTTGTAATTGCTGGCAGTCTGTTAGATGCAGCTTCAAAACTCCTTGATAAAGGTAACCGAAACAGTCATTTTACAATTTAAAAGTATTAATTTAACACATATTTTGTTTATCAGAAGCACTAATGTTGTATGGGAAGCTGCAAATCAATTTTTTTATATGTGTGTATTGTAATTGGCATGTATAAAAAAAAAAAAAAATTCTTGTGCATAGTAATTTCTGTGAATTTCAGTCAGCCAATAGTATGGTAATAACTGAAAATATAATTTGCAGTTGGGAATATTTATATATTAATCTAATATTTTTGCCTACCGTATAATTTTAAAACTTTGACGTTATTTTTCTAAACATATACCATTGTGAAAAACCAAGACTAAATTTGTACTTTTCCGCCGCCTCAATCTTCAAATTCCTTTATAACTAGAGCAAAGTGTTAATTTATTTGTTCACATTTTTTTTTTTTTTTTAATGCATGTAATGATGCTGCTTTTCCGTTCCAGAAAATATCTGATGAGAGCAATACAGTTAAAATTATAACCCTGGGATGGGTAAAATTTTCATATTTATTATCATTTAGTTTAGCTACGTATTTGCTGATACTTTAGTTTGCTCCTTACTTTAATCTAAAAAAATGCTCATGTCTAATCTTAAGAATACCAAGTTTATAATATGCTTCATTGAAACTTTAAATAGAATTGGCTAGAGAGGCCAAATGGACTTTGAACTTTTTGTTAGATTCTGGGACAGTGTGAGGGATGAAACAAAGAACTAGATACCTCATGTCATTTTTTTAGGGGGGGGCAGCTATTACTAATGACCTTCTGAGTTTTTTTTTTTTTTTTTTAAGGAAAAGTTGTTGAAAGACTCAGAGAAGCTGTTAAACTTCTTTTGGCAAAAATCTCTCTTTTTTTTTTTTTTTTTTATTTGCAGTAGTTTTAGTGGTACAGAGTTGCCAACTCTCCCGATTTAGGCGGGAGACTCCTGATTTTCAACCGTTTTCCCGCCAACCCGATTTACAATATTTTCCTGACTTCTTATTCTTAAAATTTTTCACTATTTTATGGAACTTGGCTTAAACCGCTTAAATGAACAAAAAAAAAAAAAAAAAGTGATTTTGGATGTCTAAAGTAATTGAAATTTTCTCTAGATATATCTAAAAAACTTGCGAATCAGATAACTTCTGCTTTTTGAGTAAGAGCATTATACGTATCCAGTAACGTCATTCTCCAATGGGCATCGAGCTCCACTGCATGTCATCTGGCATATATTAGCTAATGAGCACAAAGCAAGCTCAAGGCTGTTATTTGGATGTTCTGTCAAAGAATCTATAGGGAGTTTGTGTACATGCTGGCTGTCTTTAAAGAAATGCTTATCTAGAATCCTCAATCAATGGAATCTTCTTGCATTTTTTAAAGAAGAAGTAAATGCTTCGAGAGTTAAGCTAAAAGGCTCTATTGAAAGTTACAAAATACCTAAAGTAAGTGGAGGTGTAGTTAATATTTCCATTGTTAAAAATAGGTTTGAGAAAAATAATTTCTGTACCATTCAGCAATTCCACTGGCAGTTCTCAAAATGATACTGCAAAATATGAGCATAAAGTTGATATAAATTTCTCTGAAAATAAAAAAAATGCTCAACACACGAAACATTTTCCGATTACTGGTAAGTTTAGCTAAGTGTAAATCTGCCACTGTTCATAATATTTGTACGAAAACTGATTAAAGTGTCTTTTTGTTTTCTTAAATGATGCAAGTAATAAAAATGTTTTTTATGTGTAACGTATTTTTGTGTTGCTTGCTTGGGAACTGCATTTAATAATTAGTAACTATTTAAAGTTAATTCATTATTAAAAACTATATTTATATCATTTTGTGAAAACTCTACTGATTTCTTAAAAAAATCTCCTGATTTTTGAGTGTCATAGGTTGCAAGTATGGTAGTATTACATCGGTTTCTAATTTCAGCTGATTCTGTGTGTCCTTTACTCTACACCAATTTTTGTAGTATGCTAAATCAACTTCTCTCAAAATTTGTCAAAAGAGGTTCACTGCAATAAGCACTCCTGAAAAATTGGTAAAAATAGATATTTTAAATCAAACCATTTATTGTAATGTAAATAGATATGAGTATTGCTACAGTGTGAGTTTAGGTAGAATTGAAGTGTCTAAAGAAAAGAGAATTCTGAATTTAATGTAGAACCTTTATGGTTAAGCTTGCATCAAAAATAGTTAAAAGAAGTCTAAGTATGTCAAATATATTTCTTCTTTAGATCCTAAGCTCATTATGTCTAATGAATTTTTATGCGAGAAAAGGATGGAGAGGTTACATTATATACTGTATGAAATGGAATGGATAAACTCTGCAGTTGTGGATAAATCAAAAATGCAATTTAAAGAATTGTCATTCAGAAGCAAGGGTGTTGGATAGACCACTTTTGTTAACTATGCTTCAGTGTGGCTTTGTGTTTATTATAAGGATTTGATTAATAATTCAAGTGGGAGAGTGTGTGGTAAAACTAGTTCTAATTTTATTGCATGGCAATACCATAGCAGAAAGGGGTTTCTTAGTTAATGATATGCTGTTAAAAAAACCTTCAGGAAAATTCTTTAACAGCAGTGAAAACTGTTCATGATGCCATACAAGCAAATGAAGTTGTGATGAATATTAATATAACTCCTGATATGTTATGATATGCCAAATCATCAAACATTCAAAAACAAAAAACCTATGTAATAATGAAGGGCAAAATAAAACTGCTTTTTTTAAACTTTTCTGAATTTAGCAACTACAGAGGTGATTGGCAATTATTTATTATTTAGTAGAATAGATATAGCTGCTCCGTCAGTGCCATTTTGTAAACAATAACTTCCATTCCAGTATTTATTTGTGATACTTTTTAAAATAATAAAGCTGTCATTAAATGGTGAAAAAATCTTGTGTTTAAAAGCTTATCCTTAGCATTGAAAAATAATTTCATTTCTGATTTTGTTTATTACTTAAATGGAATGAATTGTCAGTATTTAATTTCTTTTATGTTTTTATGCATGTAAAATTAATTTTTAATATTCTTTTAACTAATATTTGTGCTAACATTTTATTATAAATGTAAATGTATTTTTAAAATAATAAAGCTGTCATTCATGATGTAATTATCACAATTAATGGTGGAAAAAAATCTAGTGTTTAAAAGTTTATCCTTAGCATTCAAAAATCAATTTCATTTCTGATTTTGGTTATAACTTAGATGGAATGAATTATCAGTATATAATTTTTTTTTTTTTTTTGTAAATGTATGTTTTTATGCATGTAAAATTAATTTTTAATATTTTTAATATTTGGTTATAAATGTATTTAAGTGTCAGTGACTTGAATATTTGAGATGCACTCATAGCCGCTTTTGGTATTGTATACTTTTCATATAATTAAAATTGAAATTGATTTGGGATTGCTGAGGAGAATGATGGTTTAGTATGCAAATATTGTGTAGCAAGTTTTCTTAGTTTGGCAGAAACTTAATTTGAAAGTTTCTTCTGAGGTGAGCAACTCCTATTGTAGGTATAATAGTAATACTTTGGCAGTTCAAAAGCAAGTTTTTATTTTAATCATAGCTAATTAGCAAATTTTTTTGGTTTCAAGGGGTACCATAATTAATTTACCCTCAGCACAGCCAACACACACTGCATAGCTAAGCTGGAATTTTCTTAAAACACACTTGGAAAAGTCAGGCAGTTTCATTCTCCTATTTGAGTGGCAATTCTGAGGGAAATATACATGAAGATAGTTAATTTTTTGTCTCTTAGGATGCCTTTGATATTTATTATACATGAGTATGTTAATTTGAAATTGAGTGTTTGAAAAGTTCTTAGTGTTATTCTGTTTTGTTTAATAATGCCAACTTTGCTGCTTTTACTGTGTCTGAAAAATGTATTTCTTTTATTCTTTTTCAGTTTTTGTGGTTGTGTTTACTTCTTTGAATTTCTGTAAATTAGAAAAAGGAGGTCCTAAATGGTAGCCGATTCGACTCAGGTTCTATCACAGGGGAACAAGTTGGCTGCATAATTAATTTTCGTGGTTTTCCCCATCAGTAACACAAATATGAGCCAGTCCCCTTAGAATGTCCTCCACAGACATCCTTATCCATTGGCAGATAACTCTGAGCTATGTTATTTTCAAATAACATAAGCTAAAATTTTAAAATAAATATTATGTTAAAAATTCAGTTTTAAAACATAACTTATTTTCTTTCCTACTGAATAAATGGGTTTTAATATTTACTAGAACTGAAGTATTTTGCGTGGGTACATCTGTATTATCACTTTTATCTGGCTTGTACAAGCACTGAAATGTATGTTACTTGATATGAAATTTACTAATTATTCCATGCTGTATTTTAAATTGCATTTATTATTGCATTTCTCACTTGCATATAGCTGTAATTAAGTTCTGATTTTTTTTGTGCAGGAATTCATCCTACAACAATATCAGAATCTTTTCAACATGCTGCCGAGAAAGCTGTTGAAATTTTAAATGAAATGTCTATACCTGTTGAATTAAATGACAGAGAAAGTCTACTGAAAAGTGCTACTACAGCATTGAGCTCAAAGGTTATTAATATTTGCATATATTGAACCTAGTAAATGTGTTTTTAGTAGAAGAGCCATGAGAATTAATCTTGTTTTTCATAGTTGATATAATGGATTCCTCATCCTAATTTATAATAAAATAATTACTTTTAAAATTCTATTGTATTTTTTGTCTAATTATTAGCATAGCATGTAACTTTTAAGTTGTAAGATTGTAATCATATATGAAAATATAGAGCTGCTCTATAGCATCTAAAATTTGGTTGTAATTTTTCACCTTATAGTCATAGTTATCAACTGGCAAGCTCTGTAATTGTAGTCCATTGAAACATGAAAATTTCAAGTTATTTAGTGTATACATTTTGTTATGTCTGGTCTTATTATTATCATAGTTCTGTTATTCTAATTATTATCATTGTTTGAAAACAAGAAAGATTAATTTTTTTGCCATATATTGTACAATTAATACATTAATAAATAGGCTACAAATGACACCAGAAATAAAACAATCAGTTTTGTTTTTTCTCATAGAGCCCTGATCTACATTGAGATTCATAACTCATTCATGTATGAGGCTTTCTATACCTGCTCCATCTAGTTCTTTGTGTTGCTGCCCTTAACCATATAGTAGACTTCAGCATCTGTATTTGTCTGCAGTATGTGTATTGTCAGGTGTGCATTGACGTGACCAAAGTGAGAATTACTTGGGGCTAAGTCGGGGTTGTATTGAAACTGTTGGAAAAGTAGCCACTTAAATTTTGCAACAAATAATATGCTGTGATTCAGGCTTTGGTATTTTATGAGCTATGAAGAGCAAGTGTGAAGCTACAGCATACCATAACAATATGCTGCAGTAGTCATACGCTTGTCTGCTTTCTGAAAATTAACTATTACAATGACATCACAATCCATTGCTTCCAGAAAACACATCACAATCCATTGCTTCTTTATTATTGATTCCTGCTGCATGGTAGCTATTTTTACAGTGCTATATAATACACTCAGGAACACTGAAAATAGCTCATCAAAAAAGGAAGAAAAGTACAATAATGAAAATTTGAAAGTAAGAACAGTGAGATCCAGTATGGAAATGATTTAAGTTTGGTGCCATTGGACATGGCCACACACCTTGCAGTTACACTGCAATCAAGAAGTGGGTCATATAATAGCCCTATCATAAATGTGATGAACACATTCTGACTCTAGAACTTAAAGAAGTGAAGAATGTCAGATATATGTGTGAGAAGATATTTCTCACAGTTAAGTGAATTTGAGAGGATCCTGATCATCGGGATGAAAACCACAGGCTGGTCAGTGTACCATGTTACTTGGTAGGTAGATCGGTCTGTGTGCACTGTCAGAACATGTTGGGAGCAGTGGTCGCAAGATGGTACCCAAGTGCAGAAAACCAAGTCTGAGGCAACCAGGAAGACGAAGCAAAATGATGGAAGGATCATGTGACAGGCATTTGTGAATTCCATTGTGATTCCATGATACAATTAGATGTAGGAGAGCCAGTTCCACAAACCATTTTCAGACACCTTGTAGAAGCGAATCTGCAATCCAAGCATCCTTTTTGTGTATTGCTTTTAACACTGAAACATCAGCGACTCCATCTACAGTGGTGCCAAGCCAGAGTGACTTGGTATGTCTCAGATTGGCAAAATGTGGCATTTATTGATAAATCTTGGTTTGCTTTGGGGACAGATGATAACTGCGTATAGATGTAGAGGCAACTTGATGAACAGTACAACTCCACTCATGCTGTTGCACAACACACTGCCCACATAGCAAGCGTAATGGTCTGAGGGACCAAAGCTTATGATAGCTGATCCACTTTAATTGTGCTGCATGAAACTTTAATGGGACAGTGTTATGCTGATGACAGTCTTTGACCCCATGTGGGACTTTTCCTAAATGGTCTTCTAGGGACAATTTTCCAGCAAGATAATGCTTGTCTGCATACAGCTTGAGGTTCTCAAGGCTTCATAACGTCATGTTCAGACTTATATGGCCCAGTCCACTCCCCAGGTTTTTCCCCCAAAGAGTTTGTGTGGAACCACCTGAAACATCAGATGCTGTTGTGTAAATCTATGCATGATTTGGAGGTGGCTGTTCAAGATCTGTGCACCCATCTGCCTCAGGACAATATCAGATTTGCATCAACAGCATGCTGGACTGTGTTGCAGCAGGAGCCGGTTCGATGCGCTATTGAAGCAGCACTGTATTTGTCTAATTATATACATTATATTTGTTTAGTTGTCGATTTTAGGATCAAGTTAATCTCTCATCTGTATCATTATGGACATTAAATTTAATTTCAGTTCAATGCTCCTTTCTTCGTGCACATTTTCATGAGTACACATGTGCAGGGATTGTTGGCATTGCTTGTTAGTCAACCTTCTGAAACTATTTGTGGCTCTGTCATACATTATCCTGCAGTAGTTTGTAACTTACGAACCTTCTATCATGTTTCAAAGTATAACATACAATCATAAAAGTTTATGCAAATTATTATTACATCTGTAATACAATTGTAGATGTTTAAAATGACTACCGGCCTTATCCTGTTATTATACTGAATAGAGCAGTTAATTCTGGAAATACTCATTGAGTAATGTCTCTGTGTCAGTTCTGTGCCATCTCATTTAGTAACTTTTAGTTGTCTTCCAGAAGGCAGTGCATGATAATGTTACCACCACAATATCCATATTGTACCTACGAGCATGTTAATGTGATATAATTCTGAAAGCAAAAGTTTAAGCAGAAAGTCTCTCTAGGGTAATAACATCTCAGAATTCGAAAATAACCACATTAATTTATAATGTATATCTTAAAATTCCTGCTTTTCACGTTTATTCTGAATTTCATTAAGCACACAAAATGCTTGTTGTCTGAATGTTAATATTCTTTTTATTTTTCTTTTCTTTTTTGTAAAACTTGTGTGTATTTATCATTAATATATCCTGTGTGTACTTCAAAGTAAGTTTTGTTGCAAAATCACTAAGTTAATTAAAAATTCTTGTTGCAGATTGTATCTCAGCATTCTGTGCTTCTATCTCCTCTTGCAGTTGATGCTGTTATGAAAGTTATTGATCCTACCAAGGATACCAATGTTAACTTAAAAGACATTAAAATTATGAAACAGTTAGGGTATGTTTGATATTTTCTTTTTTACAAAATTACTTTGTAAAAATCAAAAGAACTGTTGCCTAGTGCCAAATATTTGTTGAAATTTTAATAAATTATAAAATAACTCTGCAAATAAGTAATCTGTGTTGTGAACTGTAAAAAACTAATGATATTAAAAAAATATTCTTGTGTGTCATGTTTAATATAAAAGCATAGCTGCCAGCTTTATCAGCTTTTTGGTAGTTTCAGTTTTATCAGTTTTTCATCTTCCAGTATTACCGGTTTCAAATGTCTGGGTTTTTTATTTTTAAGCTTTTACCAAGGAAAGCTACTAAGCAAAATGTTAAATATATTGAATTAATGAAATTTAACTTGGACAAATCAAATACCCACCAATCGTAGGGAATTTCAAAATAATTTTCCCTATTAAATTTTATTTCATATGAATTATACAATTTTCCATCACATTTTATATTTTTAATTAAAATTTCATCTATGAAATAATGAAATATTTATGATTTAAAGGGTATCAAAATTTACAAAAGAAAGGAGCTTAATATTTATATGTTTACTTTTATTAAACATTTCTTTCAATGTGAGTTGTTTGATTTGTTTTCTCTGCTAATACTTTAGACTAATACTATAGACATATAATTTCTTGTTCAGTTATTAAGTTCCATTGTTCAAGTCCTGTAATTGCTGTCTCAAGAATTCCGAATAACTTGTCAATCAGAATTTTTTCTCGTTCAGTAACCTCTCTGTTACTTTCTTCACTATCGGTAGCTGTATTTTCTGGATTTAGAACCATACTACAGATTTCGCCCTCCGTTAATTGATTGATGATTGGGCATTGTCATCGCAATGAAAAACTTCTGTTTAACTTCGCTAAATTCTGCCGCTGGTTCTGGCTTTATGTGAATAACAAATCAGTTATTCTTAATTCAATATAATCATTTGTCCTATGAGTATCATTAACAAAATCTATTTTTAGCATAAGGAAAGAAATTTCTGCTGAATCTCTCCTTGTCAACATTTTAGCGCATTAAACTTAAATCTGTAATCGGATAATACTCTATTATTTAGCATCGCTGCATGATTCATCACTCAAGTTGTCATCCGTTGATAAACATGCGGTGATGAAAGCAAAATACAACTTACCTTTCAAATCTTTCAAATCCTTATTTTTCAAAATATAACTTACCAGTATGAATTCACTCTTTTAAAATAATTCTACTTTAATTAAACTTAGGAGATAATATAATCAATTAATCAATATTGTTTAGGAAATAAATTTTATATATATAGTAAAAAATGTATATTTTCACTATTCAAGTATTCACTGTGACAAGTATTCCCATCTTGTCACATGAACAGGCCTCTGTGGAAAGGGGCTTCTCTGTAAATAAAGCAATTAAAATTGAAAATTTAAGTGATCATAAATTTTTCAATGCACAGTATTTGATTACATAAAATTTTCTGGAGGTGTTCTTAATATCGAAATTAATAAAGAAATGAGATCAGCAGCAGCTTCTGCAAGAAGTGGAGTTCGTTATTTAGAAGAACGTTCAGTATTTAGAAGAACAAAAATCTTAACTAAATCTGAAAATTCAAAGAGGAAAGAAATATTATTGAGGAAGAAATTGATTATATGAAGCAGAAGAAAAAATTTCTTCAAAGGGACATTAAAGATATTAATGAAGAAGTAGATGCTTTAGCAGATGAAGCTGAGACCAGCAGGAACATTGATTTGTTTATCAAAGCAAATGAACTTAGAAGAATAGTTAAAGAAAAGGAAATAGACATGAATAAATTAGATGTTAAAATAGCTGAAAAGATTTCAATTTAAAAAAAGCACAAATGTTTTGCATCTTTTATTGTACAGTTTATTATTCTAGTATCTTTCAAAAAACCAAGGAAATAAATTGTATGTTTACAAATCAGTTACTTTAATCTGCAAAATATTCTTACATTGTGATTATAATAGTAGTTGACTGTGTTTAAATAAATATCAAATAAGTTAAATAATAATCATGTAAATCTCTAAAATAGTGACTGTTATTAGTGTAAAATACACTTATACATGTTTTTCAAGAAATTATGTTCCTAATTTATTGTTATCTACTTCATAACTTGTAGGGAGTTAGTTTAATTTTCAAAATTGTTTTATGGTAAGTATTAAATTGAATTTAATTAATAGTGCATAATACACAATTCTGTTAGTTTCTTAAAGTGAAATTACAAGCATGAAGTCGGTTTGTATGGATAATTGCTTTATTCTATTCATTTTTTTGTTTGCTGATAGGTCCTTAATTTTTTCTTTGATGGTATTTAAAATTCCTTAATTTTCATGTAAGGAAATGTGTACGAACCCTGTAAACGTGTCAGTATTGGTGCTTAAAACTATTTGTTAAAAAAAAAAAAAAAATACCCTGGAAAATATGACTCCAGGAAACAAGATATTAAGCTATACAATTCAGTATAAACTAGGAGTGTTAAACTACGCCGAAGTGTATGGAAACAGAGCAGCAGCAAGGCATTTTTTGTCCACCACCTACCGAAAAAATGAAATGTACTTGGCGACTGCAGGAAGATCTTCTGAAGACTGCTAAAAAACAAAAAATATAACCTTCGATGCCTAGCTCCATCTTGGCCTGAACTTGAAAATGCCGTAAAAATGTGGGTGATAGATAAGAGGAAATCTGGGATAAGTGTTTCAACCAAAATGATAATCAATGAGGCCAAAGGATTTGCAGAAAAACATGGGAATCAGAACTTTTCAGGGTCTGAAGGCTGGTGCTACAGGTTTATGAAAAGGCAAGGCTTATCAGTGCACACAAAAACAACTATTTCACAGAAAATGCCAGCAGATTGTGACGAAAAAATACTAGCATTTCATAGGTTTGTTATAAATGCACGCAAGAAAACTTCTTTTGAGCTCGCTCAAATAGGAAATATGGATGAAATTCCACTCATATTTGATGTACCATCCAACAAGACTGTGAGTATTAAAAGGTGTAAATCAAAAACCATAAGAACCCGATATACGGTAGTTCTAACATGTTGTGCTGATGGCGCAAAACTACCGCTGTTTTCATATTCAAAAGAAAAACTCATCCGAAAGAAAAATTTCCAACTGGTGTAATTGCCGTTTGTTAATTTTCCTTAATAAAAATATGTTTTGTAATTGCATTCAATGATTGTTTATTTGGCTTTTACAAAACGTGAGAACTAAAAGAAACCACATTTTAAATTATTGTGGTACCACGCTATTGTGGGGACTATCGAAACTTTTTTTTCCTTGTGTGTGGCCTTCTAAATAAGGGTGCGTCTTATATGCCGTCAAATACGGTAATTATTAAGTTTATTTCCATAATTTTAAAAGTGCTTTGATAAATAAAATCTTTCCTTCCCTGCTAGGAATTTTCTCAGTACAAAGGTGTAAGAATATTAAAAATTGAAATTAATCAAAGAACAGAAAATTTAAAGTATCTAATTTATTAATATATTTTACAAACAGCAGAAACATAGTACTAATAGTTCAAAAACATGAATCGTGAATTTCAGTAAATTTAGAAGTCTTTTGCGATGCAGCATGAAAATGTCATGGCTTCTCCTGGTCCCTTGGTTTTTCCAATTTCCTGAGTAGCTGCTATGTAAACAGGGTTTGTACAATCCTTTAAAATATTTAAAAGTCCCTAGGCTTTCTGGAAATGATTTTTGGTTCCTACAATGCCTTCATTTCAGTCCAAATTGGCAAAACATTTGTAATCTTATTCATCTGACATTTCTGTTTTTTATGACTGCCATTTTGAGTGTGAATTAATATTTCGGAGGAATATTTTTTGATTCACTGACAAATATGTATTTCATAGGTTATCATTTGAATTCTTTCCTACTTAATTGGACCATAATAAAATTGATGCATATCATTAAAATAATGATAATTTATTGAAATTGTAACTAAGAAATAGCATTAAAATAAAACACTCGTGCCATATTTTAAAATGACATCACTTTCCATTTGGGGCAAATTAAAAGTATTTTGATTCTGAAAATTAAAATTAAGATAATAAATGTTATGAAACACTTTTTCCAAAGAATTTCTTACAAGAGCAAAATATCTATTTTAGTTAAAGTTGAAACTTTTTTGAAAAATATTTTTTTATTACAGTTTTTTTCCATGTCGTTGCAGAATAGTCAAATGTGTATCAGTTTTCTCTTAAAAATTCACTATGTGCTTTTCTTTTCAGAATTTTTTATTAGAAAATCTTCTGGCTTTTTACTTTTACTGAATTGTTAAGGTATGATTTTTAGACCTTACACCTCAAAAGGTTTAGAAGGATTTGAAAGCAAGATTAATTGACCTATGATTCCATAATGAATGCATAGTATAGGAAATTTGTGATGAATTTCTTGTTTGATTGAAAAGTTTTGGAAGAACAATGAAAATTTTCTATTTTTAATCCTAGAATTGATGTTTATCTTCTCATCTTTATTTATCATTATCTTTTATTTTCTCATCAACACTTAACACAAGCATGAAAAACTGCTGCATCGTTTTAGAATCAATATCATAAATTACATGGATAATTATCTGTATTTTAAACCATAAAATGTTCATGGTTCATGTGATTTGAATAGTGCTTTTATAATAAATATTTTTTAGAAATAAAATGAAAAAATTAATAATTACCCTATAAATCTGTAATGACGGGTATCTAATTACCTATATAAGTATTTGTAACTAATTTCTCGCTCTTGAAAATTATCTCTATATGTTGAGTTATTGTCTTTCCACACTGCTTACTTGTGGATGTAAGATACACCACAAAAGTGTAAAAAATAGCATAAAACTTTGCTCCATACAGCTAAGGATAGTTAAAATATCAAAAGCAACTTAACCACCTCTGGAGTTAAACTTTATATTAAGTACTGTAAGCTTCTGTTATGAATCAAACTACTTATGATTTTACTTCTCATTTTAACCTACAGGTTAAAACGAGAGAGGTCCAGAGTTAAAATGTCCAGAGGTTAAACATTTGCATTAACCTCTGGACTGAGCGAGTGCATGACAAAATGAGGCATAAAAGAAAAAATAAACATAAAACTAATTGTTAGTAACACTTAAATGTCACTATTCTGTAAAATATGTGGTACGATTATAAGTGTAAAATATCAATAAAAAAGTGCAAATTTTGGAGGAATTTTGTAATTTAATGCTAATTATCTGATAAATTTTACAAAGTTCATTTTATTCTTGAGTTTATTTTATAGTTATGTATTAGATTAATAACAATCTATTCTACTTACAGGTTTATTTTATTCTTAGAATAGTATTAAAAAAGTGAAGTTGGATATAGATAATTGCTTTATTCCATCCGCTTTGCAGATATGTTCTTAATTTTTTCCATTAATGGTCCTGAAAAAGTATTTAATTTCAACATGCAGAAATGTGTAAGAAACATTGAAAAAGCTATGATTAAAAATTATGCATTTTATGCACACATTTTAAGTTAAGCAGCATAAGAAATATGAATTGTTTATGTACATTGGCATAAGCAATATGGTAATTTTTTTTTTTTTTTTTTTCAGTGGGACAGTGGATGACATTGAATTGATAGATGGGCTGCTTTTCAGGCAAAAGAGTGCAGGGCTTGGCGGAATCAACAAAGTCGAGAAAGCTAAAATAGGCTTGATACAATTCTGTGTATCACCACCCAAAACTAATGTAATTTATATGTGCAATTTTGTATTATTAATTTTTCATATTTAACTTTTAACATTATTTAAAAACATGCATTTCTTTGATTTCAATGAATATCATGTTTAGAACGATTATTTTATATTTCATTGGTAAAGAACAGTCAAATTCAGTTTGAAATTATGGTCAGCTTGTACATTAATATGATTCTTGACATAATAACAATCCGTAAGAAAATATGGTACTTTTTAAATATCCACATCCCTGGTTTCAAAATTCAGGGGAACTTCTGAATTTTTATGTATTTTTATATACATGTGGCAGTGGCCACCTCATCAATGCATGTAACTCATATGTGTTTGAGTATTTGTTTATTCACACATTTTAATTGTCATTTTGCTGATCAATGCTTCTCCCGCCTGAGTGTGTAATTTTTATGTATGTAATGAATCGCAATGAGTCTATAGTGCACTGCCGCTCATGAGTCAGAAAACCTTTTTTCAGAAAAATTTTCACAGAAATATGTTTTACTTAATCCATTGCCTATAAAAACATAAATATTAATCATATAGACTTTTAATGTTCCTTGCGAATATCTTGTTTCTCATAAAATCCTTCTCTTAGTATTTATGAACAGAATAATACCCATGAGCCATGAAGATGGACACAAAGTTGTTTTACAAATGTCAATGTCAGAATGGTTTGTTAATTAGTTGGTGACTTTTCTGAAATGCAAATAATGAAAAGAAGTTGAAAAGTTTAATCAATTTTCCATTAACTTCCTAATTTTCCTCTTTATTGATGCATATTTATTTATTATTAGCCATTAATTGGCCTAAAATATATGTTGTTACATGACTGTAAGAATAGAGTGTAATGCAGACATTTTTCTGAGAAGATTTCTTTTTCTATGAAGACAGATTAAGTATACACAAAAAAGCAAATTTACATCTGAATATTCTGATGGTTTTTTACATATTTATCCTGAATTCAGTTTAAATGGTTTTCCATTGTTCAAACATCTTGGAAGTTACGAATTAAAGTGTGAATATTCTGGTGGTTTCTTACATATTTATCCTAAATTATTCTGAACTTGGTTAAAATGATTTTCTATTGTTTAAACATCTTGGAATTTATAAATAAATAGAGGGGCCATCTTTGTCATTTGTTAGCTGAAGCCAATGTCTACTTCTGGTGCACATACCATTGTATCCAAATGTAACAAGTTTCTGTAAGCTGAAGAATGTTAAATTTCTGTTTTGTGTTTATCTCATTCTTGTTTCCTCTCACCATTTTTACAGTTTCATGGAAACTAATCATTTTAATTTCAAGACAGGATCATTTCAATAATTCTTTGCTGTGAAAGACAGCAAGAATCCTTGTAAAGTTCCCTCCCTTTCTGTTTCATGGAGAAATTTATAACAATGCTTTTATCACCCACAGCTCAGTGTTCCATTTTAACAATCCATATTAAATTAAAGCTTTTGAAATCTGCAGGTAAGCAAGCATATTACTTCTAAAACCAAAACAGCCAAAATGCTTTATGCTTATCTAAGTTATAAATAGTAGTTTTATTTATTTTAAAGAGAAGTTACAAGATATACATTTTTAACTGACATAGTTTTAATAATTTGATTTTTTGATATAAACGATATTTAGGCTTATAAATTTTGGTGAATATCCAGGTTATTTGAGGTTTTAAATTATTTTTCTACGGGCATTGAGCAATGAATCAACATTTTACATTGTGCCCTTTTTTATGAATTGGCCCTTAGAGAGCTCTTATAATGCGACTGAAATAACTTTGATTTTTAGGGTTATTGACATTATGATGTTCACAAATGTAGTATTTATCACAATCATATATTTTAATGTAGAATTGAACCTTCTGTTATAGTATTTAGTGTTATTTGATTGAAGTTGTTGCAAAAATCCTTCTTAATGATCTAATTGAAACGTTTGTATCATAATTGGATTGTGTATATTTGCAAAAGTTAAGTTATGCTTTCTGCAAACTATCATGCATTAGTTACATATTAAATCTGGGAGAATGGACTACTTAAGCTTGTATAATTTTGTATTTAATTCTAAAAAAATTGAAGTTAGAATCTTTCATATTTGAAATTTTAAATGATTGAAACACTAAGCATTTTTCTCAGGTAAGTCAGAATATAAAAACATAAAAATTCCTGAGTTATAAAATTAAGTTTTGTGAATTGAAATCTTCATTCCTTGAATTCTACTTTTAAAGTTTTACATGAATTTTACCAGAAGCCAACATCTCCAAATTTTGTGTTCAGCATCTCCAAATGTGTAGGATTTATTAGAGTGAATACCTTTGCACCTTTGATGTCAAATTGTGATTGTTGTTTTCATATGATGATGTATGTTAGTCAACCTAATTGTATTTATGTATTATTCGTATCTTTGGATCTTTTAATTTTATGCAAAGGTGGAATTGAAGAATTTAAAATTCATAATCATGAGCTTGCAGCATGCTATTAGTAGCAAGAACCGTAAGATAGATTTTTTTTTCGCTTTGGTAATATGCCGATTTTGATTCTCTGAACTTTTGACATTTGTTCATCCACATATAATTAAGTAAAACTATTTTCTGAGATATTAGACTTTAAATTGAAATTTCCAGATTGAGTTCCTTCTCTTAGAACTATTTACACGTGCAGTTATTATTTGCATTGCTGAATTCTCTTGCTTATTTTTAGCTAAAATTTTCAAAAAGATTTTGATGCCATGCCTTCCTTAATTAGATGAAGAAGTAATTTATGTATCTTCAGTTTACATTCACCCTCTTTGGTGATGTAAACTAAGAACTCCGGAAGACGCAAGCGAATTATCACCATGTCTTGCAAATTACAACAGAGACTTTGGAATGGGTGTAAAAGACCCTTTTATTAAGAATGTTTACTGAATAATAAAGCTTATGGATTAAAAATTCATTGATTTGTTTTAAATTTTGACAGCTTAACTGGAAATTTGGTTAATTTGGAGTAGTGATCTGACATTCAGTTGAGTTTAAAATTGCAAATTTTAATTCTAATGATTTAGCATTAAATAAAATCAAAGGCCTCTTATTAGTTTATAAAGCCTTTTTACAATATCATCAATAGACTAACTTTATTTATTGCGTTTCATTTGAGAAAGATAAATATAATCTAATATGTACTAGAGGGGAAATTAAATATAATTTTAGCTTCATAAACAATGGAAGTTATTTATTAATTTAGAATTCAATCAACAAAAATCAGTGTTATATTTGCAAATTTTCACAGAGCTAGTTTCAATGGTTTTACTGAACCATCGAAACTAGCGCTATGAAATTTGGCCAATATAACACTGATTTTAGTTGTTTGAATTCTAAATTAATTCTTGTTTGGCGTGTTATTTTATCTTAATTAGTGTAAGTTATGCTACTATAAGATTATTTTGATAAACTGGGAATTACTACGTAACCTTACGAAACTTTGAATCATCTAGTTCCATTTTTAAATCAGAAAAAAGTAATCTTTAGTTAGGAAAATGTAGAGTACAGGTTTTTTATGTGTTATAATCTGATGAATTTTTTAAAATTTGTAATTATTTTTTATTTTTAATTTAAAACATTAATTTTAATGATTTTTGTCTTATATATTTTGTTTTAAGTTTTATAACAGAATTAAAACTACTTTTTCATCTATATAAATAAAATTGTTAGTCTTAAAAGTGATTCTGAATTGACTCCAATTTCCTTAAATTCTGCAGTTTGTATTTTACACAATATTTTATGATATTTGAATTGAGTTTGAAAATAGTTATGAAATTTAATTGTGTAGGTAGTTTTTGCAATATTTGTAAAGTCTGTGTTTTTACTTAGTTCTGTATTAGAAATTACATTTATTCAGTTTGAAATTTGTTTTCAGTTAATAGTAGAGTGTGCATTGTTCTTTATAATATTTTATTACTTTCTTCAAGCATCTGTAATTAGTTTGATGATATCTAGGCTGTGAAAGTAAACAGCAGTATGAAATTGTGCAGAATAAAAATATTAAATGGTATATAAATATGAGAATTTTATTCTGTATAAATTTGAGTGACTTGAGGATTACTGAATTTTGGAAGATTGTAGTATCTTATTTGTTTTCTTAGATGGACAATAGGATTGTTGTGTCAGATTACACTCAGATGGACAGAGTTTTAAGAGATGAAAGAGCATATCTTTTAAACATTGTGAAACAAGTAAAGAAAGCTGGATGTAATGTTCTGCTTATCCAGAAATCAATTCTAAGGTTTGTTCCTAATTTTATTATTTATTTAGAATAATATTTTGATTCCATTCCTTTTTTATTGGCAGAATTATTTTAATTGCATTCTTAACACTCTACTGACTGCTCACGGTTCAACAACATACGCATGTTCGACTGGCCACTCGGCTGTTTCTGTTTAAACTTTTGCATGGAGTACCTGTGCTCTTCGTATGCTCAGATAAAATTGCCTGCTTTCGGTTGTTATAGGTTATTAGATTAAATGAAGCCTTTTATTTTCATGAGATTAATGCTATTTTCTACTAGAAGGGTTTTTAGTTTAATAGTTATATAACATACCATAATCCATATATTAGCATACTTCAAATGAGTAGGAGTTTAATTTTTTTTTTAAAGTATGATATTGTTCAAAACAGTCACCTTTGTGTAGTGGATAATTGCAAAATTAGAGACAAAACATGTTGTACTGCTACTTCTTTTTTTTTGGGGGGGGGAGGGACTGCACAATGTTAGCCTTTTGGATTTTACACTTTGACCACCATTCACTATATTTATATGTTTTCCAAAATTCAGCAGTCTTCCAGGATGGTCTAATCTTTGTATTCTCCTTGTAAGTTCAGAATTATGCAGATCGTCATCTCGTTCCATACAAGTATTTTCAGAAACTTCTATCCACAAAACTAATTTTGTAAGTAATATTTTTTCCGTTTAGAATTGTGTATGCTTTAAATGAATTGAAAAGTGCACAGTTGATTAAAAAAAAATACAAACTCATTTAGTCCATTTTTTTGTTTGGTTTTTTATTTATTTATTTATTTGGTTTGGTTATTTTTCCCGTTTAGAATTGTGTATGCTTTAAATGAATTGAAAAGTGCACAGTTGATAAAAAAAAATGCTAACTCATTTAGTCCATTTTTTTATTTGGTTTTTCTAAAAATGGAATAATACAATATATATTCATTCACGTGATCTACACACTTCATATATTTGTTATAGCTAATGATTGAATTAGACTTTTGTATTGGGCCGTTTGATCTTTTATTTCTGCTTTTGGATTCCATTAAAGCCAATTAATAGGCTATTATTCAGTAAAGTGTTAAAAATTAAAGATATAATTTCTGTGCCAAGTATTTTTGGTCTTCACAAATACATTTGTACATTAACCCGTTTATGACCAATGACATATATGCGCAACACAACGATTCCACTCCTGCCAGCTCACTGTTGCTTCTGCGTGAAGAGCTCTGATCAGTCTCTTCAGCCCAGCATCACGTATGCGTAATTTGAAAGTGGAACAATTTATTTGAATTTTTAAATGCCAGTAGATTGCACAAAATGGTAAGGATTTTCACATTGGTTGAGTCACAGAGCTTTCACATAGCTTTTGACCTTCATGTATGAGCATCAGTTTCTGTTCTGCGCTTCTGGTTTTGATAGAGTTGTTGGTGTTTTTGTTTTTACTCTTTGCTTTTTTTCGTTATTAGAATGTGGGGGAAGTGCACCCAGCTCATTGTTTTTTATTTATGTTATATGCTTTTTTATTAGAAGAATGTGGAAAAATGTATCTAGCTACTATAGCAGATGTAAAGTCAACAAAATTATTGTGATGGCAGACCAGTGTCTTTTTTTTTTTTTTTTTTTTTTATATTTATTTTAAAACTTAACAATAGGCTTTTTGGGGTTATTAAAATGTAACAGCATTATTATAAAAAAAGAAAGACATTATCTTTTCTTATGTGTAACATGTCGTACTCTAGGATTTCTCAGAAGAAAGCCGTCCTTGTTATAACAGGGTTCGTATGGTCCTTAAAAGTCCTTAATTTTTTTCAAAAATGATTTTTGGTCCTTAAAAGTCCTTAATTTTGGCCAAAATGAATAAACGGTCCTTAATTTTGCTCATTTGACATTTCTTATCATTTCTAATGATTGCCATTCTAAGTGTGAATTACGATTTCTCATGAATATGGAATTAAAATTACATGGCTCTTAACCAATCTGTTGGAGGATTTGCGTTGCAAATGATTAAAAAAAAAAAAAAAACAATTAGCTACCCGAACGAAAGTATCGGTGTCTGATTGGCTGTTCACCCAATCTTTCAAAACAGGTGTTATCCATAAATTTAGGCAGATTGTGACGAAAGCATGAAGCCGGAAGTTTTTTAAGAGGCGAAAGTGATGATGAAGGTGCTCGAGAAAAAAAAAGAGGGGGGGGGATTCTGAAAATATTTGCCAAAATTAGAGCAATCCCAACCTGGAAGGCCACAACCCTTCCGACGCCAATAGGAACGAGATGCCTGGAAAGTGCATTTTCAATAAACTGTGGCTTCATCAAGCTGATTACAAAGACTGGATATTGATGGATGGCAATCCTTAAATGTGGTCTTTGAAACAAATTAAAATTTCTAGAATGGGAGAGTCAGCGCTGAAAATTCACATGAAAATTAAGTTTCGTTTCATCATTTCAATTTGTTTTTACCCAATTTTACTTAGCTTAATTTTTGTGTTTGTTTCAATTAAGCCATAAATTAATTTTTTATCACCTTCTATGGAGTTTATTCTCTTTTGCACATACTATATGTATGGGATATCGGGATAACGAGTTTATTTCGACAGAGGGTCTGTTATCGATTTCGCGAGAAATCTGTTGGCTCCATTTCGATTTTAGGTCGCCAAGGGCAAATTCGGTAACGCTAGCCGAGAAAAAGTGAAGTTTGGAAATACGTTTTGAAGCTTCAATAGACAATTCAGTATTTTATAAAAGGAGATGCTGCTTTCAGAAGAATGTTATTAAATTTTATTTGCATTCTTAAGAGATAACATTCACCAAGTTTTAGCGATCCAACCCCCCTCCCCCCCAAAAAAAAGCTGTTGTTGATAGTGATGCATTATTTTTGCTAATGGCAGTGATACAATTATTAGTTGAAAATAACTAACTAATTAAAAATTTTTTAATATTTTTAAAGCTGAAAACAACTAATTGAAATTAATTTTCCTCAATTAACTAGACGCAAAAGTACAATACAAAGGTCTGGATTCGTCGGGACTTCGGCGATCCCAAATTTGAGATTTTTCCGGATATTAGATCATTTTAAATCTACTAAGATGGCACGTAGAAATTATAAAATTGAAAATATGAAATAGTGATTTATGAAATAATGAAGCATTTATGATTTAAAGGGTATCAAAATTTACAAAAGAAAAGAGCTTAATATTTATATGTTTACTTTATTAAACATTTCTTTCAATGTCAGTTGTTTGATTTGTTTTCTCTGCTAATACTTTAGACTAATACTATAGACATATAATTTCTTGTTCAGTTATTAAGTTCCATTGTTCAAGTCCTGTAATTGCTGTGTCGAGAATTCCGAATAACTTGTCAATCAAAATTTTTTCTCGTTTAGTAACCTCTCTGTTACTTTCTTCACTATCGGTAGCTGTATTTTCTGGATTTAGAACCATACTACAGATTTCACCTTCCGTTAATTGATTGATGATTGGGCATTGTCATCGCAATGAAAAACTTCTGTTTAACTTCCCTAAATTCTGCCGCCTGGTGCGGCCATGCGAGCTCTGGCGCTGGTTCTGGCTTTATGTGAATAACAAATCAGTTATTCTTAATTCAAAGAGCACTAAATATAATTGTTTGTCCTATGAGTGTCATTAACAAAATCTATTTTTAGCATAAGGAAAGAAATTTCTGCTAAATCTCCCCTTCTCAACATTTTAGCGCATTAAACTTAAATCTGTAATCGGATAATACTCTGCATGAGTCATCACTCAAGTTGTCATCCGTTGATAAACATGCGGTGATGAAAGCAAAATACAATAAATAATGATTCGCGATTTCGGCATGAAAACTATAAAATATTAGTTGGTGTAAAATTAATCAATGTTTCTTTTTGAGATTATGCCAAGCAGATACGCAGCTATGGAGTCAAGTTACTAAACTAATCACACAAATTTATGCTAAAATAATTATTTCTTCAATAATGAAGATATTTTATTTAGCGCCAAACTGAGAGTTTAAGAATCGGGATTTCCGGCATGTTTTTTTATGATGAGGAAAAAAATCTAATGCGCATGTGCGTAAAGCATACCCCTTCCCTTCAAAAAAGCCCTAAAAAATTGGTTGGTGGTGGCTTTGAGGTCCGGATTTTAGATCATTCCAGATATTGGATGTCCGGATCTCGGACTTTGTACTGTATGTGTATATATATATATAATGTATACATTCACTATTCAAGTATTCACTGTGACAAGTATTCTTATCTTGTCACATGAACAGGCCGCTGTGAAAAGGGCCTTCTCTGTAAATAAAGCAATTGAAATTGAAAATTTAAGTGACTCATCATACATTTTTCAACACACTGTATTTGATTACGTAAAATTTTCTGGAGGTGTTCTTAATATCGAAATTAATAAAGAAATGAGATCAGCAGCAGCTTCTGCAAGGTCTAAATATATGCAGTATTTAAAAGAACAAAAATCTTTAACTAAATCTGAAAATTCAAAGAGGAAAAGAAATGTTATTGAGGAAGAAATTGATTATATAAAGCAGAAGAAAAAATTTCTTCAAAGGGACATTAAAGATATTAATGAAAAAGTAGATGCTTTAGCAGATGAAGCTGAGACCAGCAGGAACATTGATTTGTTTATCAAAGCAAATGAACTTAGAAGAATAGTTAAAGAAAAGGAAGATTTCAGATTTAAAAAAAGCACAAATGTTTTGTATCTTTTATTGTAAAGTTTATTATTCTAGTATCTTTCAAAAAACCAAGGAAATAAATTGTATGTTTACAAATCAGTTACTTTAATCTGCAAAATATTCTTACATTGTGATTATAATAGTAGTTGACTGTGTTTAAATAAATATCAAATAAGTTAAATAATAATCATGTAAATCTCTAAAATAGTGACTGTTATTAGTGTAAAATGCACTTATACATGTTTTTCAAGAAATATGTTCCTAATTTAATGTTATCTGCTTCATAACTTGTAGGGAGTTAGTTTAATTTTCAAAATTGT